CGTGGGGCGCCGTGTTTCTGGGGTCCGAGCCGGGTCGCGAAGGGTCGGTCGTGCAACACCCCTCGCCCGCCCCTGTCCTTTGTACCCCTTCGCCACCGCCGCCGCCGAGTGTTCATTTATGTGTTCATTCATTCCCCGCCACGTCGACTCCACCCGCAGCCTGGCGCTGCCCCTCCCGGGCACGGTCTGCGCGCTGAGGATCTGCGCTCGGGGGTGGGGTGCAGTCCACAATCGGAGCGGCGAGGATGCCCGCGACGCCGCGGAGCTGTCCCGGCACGACTCGGCCGCACCCGTGCTCCACGCCCGGGCTGGCTGTGGCTGATCAGAAGCCAGGAGTTATGGTTCAAAGTCGACCTGGGAGGAAAGAAAGTTTGCGCAGCTGGGAGAGCAAGCAGGCGGCGTAGACGGGGTGACGTTGCAGGTGACATCGGAATGGTGGTTTCTGCTTCTTGAAGACTTGGGCCCCTTGGGTTGGGGTTATTTGGGGGAGGACCAAGCCAGGGCATGAAGCACTAGCAGACTGGGCATTGTGGGGACAGCCTGCCACCGCCCGTGAGCTGGCACAGGGCCTGGCAGGGCGAACGTGTGCGTCCCTCCCCGGTATGTCCCCCCTCTCTAGTTGCTCTGAACTCAGGAGGAGTAGAAGTGTCCCTCATCCTGCTGGGTCTGAGGGTACGGAGGCTGAAATAAGGAACTTAATCCACCCCTTAATATTAACTATGTAGGTTCGCTTCTGCAGAGAGAATTTTCAGGACTCGTCGGTAAAGAGGTGTGAGAAAGGGTTATTAAAGGAAGATATAGGACGCCCTCAAGAGTGGAGTGCCGGTGCTCAGGGAAATGGCACGATTCAGTTGGGGTAGGGCACACGTTTAAAGGCTATGAGGGTGATCTCGGACGTGTATTCTCACTGTCTGCTAGGTTACAGCCATCCACCAGGGCTTCAAGTGAAGATAGGTAGCCTTAGACCTGCTGTCTTCAGTGCCCCAGCTTTCTGGGCTGGAGGAAAAGGGCAATTTGCAAGTGAAAGGGAATGGGGAGACCCTTTCTCAGCCCAAGGGGACTTGCCCAGGTTTGCTGTTTGGGGAGAAGGGAAAAAGTAAATAATCCAGGCTTGTGTTCTGAAGCTGCATTTTCTTCTTTACTAGGAAGTATTTTTTGTTTTGTTTTGTTTTTTCCCCCTGGTACCTGAGATCAAACTCAGGTCCTTGCACTTTCGAAGCAGGCACCAGAACAGCTGAGCTAAATCCCCAGCCCTGCATTTTTTTTCTTTAAACGTACAATTAAAAATTTTCAATTTCCTGGTCTCCTTTTTACCTAGTTTTATTTCTTCTGTCCTACCTCAAGGCCTCAGAAGTCTAGAAAGACCTGTGTCGTGGGTCATTCCCCTAGGATGTTGCTTGGCCCTCAAGGGTTGGGGTGGTGAGTCCTGTGCTGCAGACCTCTTGCCTGGAAGCTCTTCTGTGAGCTGCTAGTGCCTGCTTGGGTGGCTCCACCCAGCCCTGGAGCTGGTTTATGGTGAGTTGTCTGTTGAAAGCCAAATTCTGTGTTTAGTAGAATGGCCTGAAGAACTTCACTCTGGAAACCAGAGTGGAGTTTTTTTTTGTTGTTGTTGTTATTTTTGTTTTCATTCAGTCAGACCTTGAACTTCTTATGTAGTCCAGGATGGCCTGGTGCTCTGGATGATCCTCTTGCGTCAGCCTCCTCAGTGTTGGGATTACAGACAGCCTCTTGCCCTTACACCCGTCCAGAAGTAAGTTCTAAGTCTCATGTTGTTCTTATTTTGCTGTGACTTGAGGGCAAATTGCTTTCCTCTCCAGGCCTACTTGCCCTAAAGAGCTGGGACTATAGTTTTCTGATGGTTTCCTCCTGCATTTGGCATTCTTTCTTTTTTTTCTTTCCTACTTTTCTCTCTCTTTCTCTCTCTCTCTTTCTCTCTCTCTCTCTCTCTCTCTCTCTCTCTCTCTCTCTCTCTCTCTCTCTCTCTCTCTCTCTTTCTTTCTTTCTTTCTTTCTTTCTTTCTTTCGTTCATAGGATCTCACTATGTAGTTCAGGCTGGCCTTCAACTCACTATGTAGCCCAGGCTGGCCTCAAAATGGTGGGGATCCTCCTGCCTCAGTCTCCTGAGTGCTGGGATTCCAGGTGTGTGCCACCGTTCCAGGCTCAGCTTTCCTCCTCCATCTCTGAGGTTTCCTTTCTTTCCACGAACATAGCACTCTTCTTTGGTGTTTGATGTCTCAAGCTGATCACCAGAAAAAGAATTGTTCAAGAGGGGGAAATAATTTCCACCCTTTCCAACCTCTCAAGACTAATGCAGCTTCAGTTTGATGAGAAGTCAGTATTGACCATTGTATCACAATTCATCTGGGCTACAGGGCATGGATCAGTTATCACCTCTTATCACCAATCTTCAAGGCTTTCATTAATTCCCCAGCTATTTACCCAGTGTGTGCGTGTGTGTGTGTGTGTGTGTGTGTGTGTGTGTGCGTGCGCGCGCGTGTGTGTGTGAATGAGGGTTTGGGTCTGGATGTCCCTCCAAAGCCTCACGTGGTCATAGGCTTGATCTAGAGTGTGTGCAGCTGGAATTCATGATGCAATGCTAGGCTCAAGGGCACTAGGATTAAGGGTGTGAGTGCTACCTGCCCTGAGTAGTCTGAATAAGATAAAAGGGGCAGGGAGACACTGTTAACTCTCTTGTTGCCTTTGCTGCCTTGTGTGTTGTTTCTGTTCTGTGGTGCTTGTTTGCCATCCCAGCCTGGAGCTAGCCAATGATGAACTGAAACCTCTATAAACTGTAAGCCAAATAAACCCCTTCCCCTCTAACTGTGGGTGTTGGGTATTTTGTCTCAGCAACGAGAGAAAAGTAACTGACACAGTGTATATGGGGGGGGCAGAAACCTGGAAATAGAATTTTTGTGTAGGGCCAGGGATTTAGCTCAGTGGTTCCGCTGCCCACCTTACAAGTGCAAGGACCTGAGTTCCATCCCTGTATCAAATAAATAAATAAATAAATAAATTCCTGTGTAATTCAAAAGTAACAGGGCCAGGGATTTAGCTCAGTGGTTCCGCAGGCACAAGGACCAGTGTTCGATCCCCGGTACCAAAAAAAAACAACAAAAAAGTAACAGCCACGCTGATTCCAAAGGAAGGTGTTGTTCTCCAGAATATAAACCTCTACCTTGTGACAAATCATTCTACCAGTAACTGCACTTCTTTTGTTGTTGTTGTTTTGTTTTTATGAGACAAGGTCTTGCTATCTTGTTCAGGATGATCTTGGGCTGGTCTTGAATTTGCTGCATAGCCCAGGCTGGCCTCAAACTCATGACAATCCTCCTTCCTCAGCCTCCTTGTGCTGGGAGTACAGGCTTGTGGGATTACATGTCCAGCAATAACTATACATTTTTATTAGTAGAGAAATGATCAACATTTAGAACTGGGCTGTAATAATAACCTGTGGTGGTTTAAATCCTTGTCCTAATGTTTCCTCAGTGATGTTTAAAATTATGTTATTTTATTTTATTTGTACCCAGGATCAAACTCAGGCTCTTGTGCTTGTGAGGCAGGTGGCAACACCACTGAGCTAAATCCCTAAGCAGACATTAACTTTTGGCTGGCACTGTTTTTTTTTTAACCTGAAATCAAAAGCTTTTAAAGCATTAGTTTAAATCAAAGATGAATTGCTTTTCCTTCTTATGTATATATTTATTTATTCTTCTTTTGCATTTATTGACATGGCAGGTAAAACATATACTAAGTCATTGTCACAATCCTTCTGGTCTTTTTGTTTGTTGATTGTTTGTTTGTTGTTGTTGTTGTTGAGAAAAGGTCTCACTATGTAGTTGAGACTGACCTGGAACTCACTATGTAGCCCAGGCTGGTCTCGAACTCACAGCAGTCCTCGTGCCTCAGCCTCCCTGAGTGCTGGGATTACAGGCTTTCGCCACCACACGTGGCCTGTTTGTTTTTTAGACAGGGTCTTGCTATGTAGCTCAGGCTGTCTTTGAACTTGTGGCAATCCTCCTGCCTCAGTCTCCTGAGTGTTGGGATTACAGGGGTGTGTCACCATGCCTGTCTACAAATTTCTGCTGAGTTATTACTGGCTCTGTATTGCTCATTCTGTGTCTGTGACCAGACTCTGTCCTGGCTGGGAATTTAGTATGTGCTCAGCAAAAGTGTTTTCCCTGCAGCATCCCCAGCTTGCATGATCTAAGATAGTATTTCCTGCTGGGAGAATCTCTGCAAATTTCCAGCCCAACTCTGAGGAGAGCTTCCTCTGATTTCTTTTTCAAGGTGCAAAGGTAGTTAGTTGAGTGATGTTAGGGTGCATGCCAGGCGCTCTACCACTGAGCTACATCACCAGCCCAATGCTCCATTTTTCAAATAAGCTTTTTAATTTTGAGATACTTGTAGATTAATTTGCTGTTTTGTAAAATAATACAGACAGTTCTCATGTAGCTTTAACCCAGTTTATCCCAGAGCTAACATTGTGTAGATATAGAACAATAAATTTCATGACCAGAAAATTGAGATTTATATAACCTAGTCACTTTGATGCAGATTTGGCCTGTCTTACATGCCCTTCTGTGTGTGTGTGTGTCTGTGCGTGTATACATGTATAACTGATTTTGTTCAATCTTATCGAGTATGATTTTGGCAGAGTTCATTTTTAAAAACTTATCGGTACATGATTATAATAATAATTACACTCATCATGTGGAGGTGGGTACATGTGCCTACGATATGGAGCTTAATTCTTGTTTCATTTCCCCTCCATCTCTTGGTCCCCTTCCCCTTTGTGAAAGATGTATCTCCTTAACTTCCTATTATACATCTTTTATTTTGCTCTTTATTGATTTTTTGAATTTCTCATATAGGAGAAGCCATGCAATCTTTAAGCCGAATCTGATTTATTTCACTTGACGTTATCGTCTCAAGGTGCATCTGTTTTCCCACAGGTTTATAAACTCAGGTCTATCCTTTCTGGAGGAGTAGTGTTATCAGGTTCTGGGGTGCTGGAGACTCTAGAGATTCTTTCTAGGTTCTTCTTGTCCTGAAGAAAGAATTGGACAAAACAGGCAGCAAAGGTAGGGAGGTTTTACATTTATGAAAAGAAACCTACTCTACAGAGAGTGTGGGCCAATTAAAGTAGGATAAAAAGTACGCTCTGCAAGGTGAGAGAGGACCACTGGGAAATAGGACACAGAAGCAAGGAGGAAATGGTGGTGTCTTGTGTGTCTCCCAGTCCTCAACTGACCTCTAGGTGCCCTGTCAAAAATCTGCTTGAGAGCTGGGCGTGGTGGTGCACACCTGTAATCCCAGTACTCGGGAGGCTGAGACAGGAGGTTTGCTGAGTTCAAGACAGCCTGGGCTACATTGTGAGTTCCAGGTCAGTCTCAACTACATAGTGAGACCCTGTCTCAAAAAACAAAACAAACAAAGAAACCTTCTTGAGGGGCCAAGGGTTTAGCTCAGAGGTTCCACGGCCTGCCTCGTAAGGGCAAGGTCCTGAGTTCCATCCCCTGTACAAAAAAAAAAAGAAAAAAAACCCCACACACAAAAAACCTGATGGCAAAAACCTGCTTGACTTCTCATGAGAATTGAAGATAGTACTTTCATGTGTCCTAGAAACTCTAATAGGTTGCAACCTAGCTGGCCATGCCCTAATCTCCTGCCTCAGTGGTACTCTATTGTGTATAAATGTCACATTTTCTTTATTTGCAGAGTTCTTTTTTTTGGTACCAGAAATCAAACTGAGGGTGTCAGGCTTGCCAGGTAGTCATGGTGCTGCTGAGCTAAATCCCTGGTTCCCAGAGTTCATTTTTAAAACTAAGTTTTTCTATGGTTCACAATAACTTATTATATAGTTTATAAATAGCTAGAAGAGTGGCTGGGAATGTGGCTCAGTGGTGCTGCCACCTGACTCGCAAGCTCAAGGGCTCGAGTTTGATCCCCAGTATAAAAAAAAAAAAAAAATGTAATGAGGCGTTTGAAGTGCTGATTTCCCTGAGATGGGCGTATATTGAGTATGTGTACCTGAGAACTCACAAAGTTCCCAGACTTCTGCTTTCTGAGAAACCATGGCGGTCTTTCTTTATCTTTTATTTTGAGACAGGGTCTCCCTAAATCACTGTGTTGCCCAGGCTGAGTTCAGACATGATCCTCCTGGCTCAGCTTCCCCAAATGCTTGGATTACAGGTATGTGTCACCGCACTTGGCCTTTTTATTTTTCTGCCCTGGGGGTTGAATTCAGGGCCTTGCATTCCAGTTTGTAATCTTCCTGTCTCAGCCTCCAGAATACTGGGATTACAGGAATGCACCATTGTATCTGGCTCCTACTTTTCATGTAAACAATACATTTTGGACTTTTCCCCACATTATACCACATGGAACTATAAACTATTCTTTCAGTCCATTGTATAGGAATCCATAATATTAAAACGTTTTATTATTTCTGCTTTCTTCTCTATAGTTGTTGACTATGTGAATATACATTTTTACCTATTTGTTCATTACTTTCCTTGTACCAAATTCTTCATTTTTGTGAAACCAGGGATCAAACTCAGGACCTTGTGCTTGTCAGGCAGACGTGGCACCACTGAGCTACATCACTGGCCCTTGTACCAAATTATGTTTTTGTTTTGTTTTGTTTTGTTTTGTTTTTTGGTACTGGTGACTGAACTCAGGACCTTGCGCTTGCGAGGCAGGTGCGGTGCCACTGAGCTAAATTCCCGGTACTCCTTGTACCAAATTCTTAAAATGGAGTAGTTGAATTAAGGAATTTGCACTTCTTAAAGGCACTGGTGTGCATCAGAAAAATGAACTCAGTTTTAGCCCCATCATGGTGTATAAATAATGCCCATTTTGCCTGACTTTGTGCTGTGAACCTGTCATCCCTGCCCTTGAGAAGCTGAGGCAGGAAGATCCCTTTACACTGAGAAACAGCCTCAGCTCTTTTTTATTTTGTACTCTGAGGCAGGGTCTTGCTAAGTTGCCCAGCCTGGGCTAGAACTTGGAATCTTCCTGCTTCAGCCTCCTGAGTGTTGAGATTACAGGTATGTTCCACCACCCACAGGCTGAAATACATTTTTTGTGCATAGTGTGGTCGCTCTTGCCCAATGCCATTTATTAGACAATCTACTTTTCCCTTCTTCAAAACACTTTCAGTATTTACTAAATTATCATATATATACCCATAGGTAATTTTCTGGTCACTGACTCATATTTCATGGATCTATTAATCTTTTCTAAGCCAATAAATCTCTTACTGTTTAATTGTTCTACGTTTATAGTTTGTTCTGGCATCTAGCAGGGCAAAGCCATTATTACACTATTTGTATTTTCAAAACTTTTTTGGCTACTGTCGTGCTCGTAGTCTTCCAGATGAAATTTAATCGGTTTACCAAACACACACGCACACACACACACACGCGCTCGCGCAGTCCTTGGTGGGACTGAACGACATCTATAAATTGGGGGGTAAATCTGGTTCTTAAAACATTGAATTTTTTACTGTACTTGTACAGGATTTCTCTCTTCCTTATTTTGGGCTTTTAAAATGTCATTTAAAAGCTTTATGATTTTCTTAAAGATTTTTCTATAATTAATGTAATAATTTCCCCAAATGTATTTGATAACTATGTTACAGATCTACAAGAAAACTGGATTTTTTTTTCCCCCTAGAGCTGGGACCTAGTGCTGGGCTGAGTCACTGTGTGTATGGACCATTAAGCTATAACCCCAGCCCCCAGAGTTAATGTCTGATTTAATTACTATTATAATTGTACAAGATCAACATTGAAGTCAATAGTTTTAGGCTATGGGTGTGGCTTAGAGGTCCTAGCAAGCCAGGGACCCTGGACTCAATCCAAACACTGCAACAGCAATGTAAAGATAATTAACTCTCCAGTGTTAATGGCACTTTAAAAAAAAATAATTTCATTGGTACATTTTAGGTATACAATATAATAACATTCATCATTGGAAATTTGTACCTTTACATGATCCATCTTGGCTCTTATTTTATTCCCCATTCCTCTGCCCTCTCTTCAACCCCTCCAAACCTCCCTATTTACAAAGACTTTGTTTCCATTTTTTCATTTTCTCATATTAATTCCATTCCCTTCCTTCCTTTCCCTTCCTCTTTTCCAGTGTTAATTACGTACCTATCACCCCCATCACAGCTCTGTGTAACCCGGTGCCCAAATATAAAAATCTGAGCCACTTTCTTATGGTTGATCAGTTGTTTATGTTTAGGTGGTTTGTCTTACCATCTTCAAATAATCGTCAGTTTTAAATATGCAGTTTTAAATAATTGTGCTTGCTTTGGCAGCATATGTACTAAAAAGAAATATGCACACCTTGTTCATCAGGGAGGTGCCCACCTGTAATTCTAGTATACCTGGGAGGCTGAGGCAGGAGGATAGCTGTGAGTTTGAGATCCTGAGGTTGTGCCTGGACTGGAGGTTGTATCTGGAGACTGGATACGTGATCAGGATCTTGGGGAGCCCGTCGGGTGGTGTGGGTGGCTCGAGGGGCAGAGGCTGCAGGAGTGCCGCTGTGAGTGGGATGTCTGAGGTCACCACCCCCTGCACACCAGCAGAGGGCGCCAGGTGGCCCAGGTTGAGTGCAGCTGGAATGCGATGCTGAATCTGCTGCGCTCCCCAGACCTGCCTAGGTGCATGGAGCAGGTGTTTGGCAGGGTTGTGAGGGTGGCTTGGGGCTGGGGACTGAGATAAGCCGTCTCCTCTCTCAGTCCCAGGAAGCCCAGATCTTTTCCCGAGAGGGTCCAAGGTTGTCCTCCCGGGACAACCCCGGGTGCAGCCTCAGTTCTCACCAGGGCACCAGAGTTGGCCTTGTGGAAGTCGCCCAGCTACAGGGCTAAGTTCTGGAGCGCATTTCACTCGGGTCAGTACTGGCCTCAACACACAGAACCTCCCTCACTTTCTCATTCTGTCTAGAAATGCTGCTGTGGGTTCCGTGACAAACTGCGCACCAGGATCGATCCCCCACCCATCTCTATGTTCAGGCTGGTCCTGAACAAGTGTTCACTGCAAAGCCTGGCTTCTTTCTGCTTAGCCACTCTCCCGATCTCCTGCGAGGTCAGGTGTCCTCCTTCCTTTCTCACAGTCTTTCCACCTTGTGGTTCTTCCGGCTCAGGTTTTTCTTCTCCTCTTCCTAGCTCCTGCTCCTTTTCATTGAGATATAATTCAAATAGAGCTCACCATACAGTTTGCATGTGCATGCGCACGCACGTCTGTGCATGTGTGTGTGTGTGTGTGTGCGTGTGTGTGTGTGTGTGTGTGTGTGTGTGAGAGAGAGAGAGAGAGAGAGAGAGAGAGAGAGAGAGAGAGAAGAGAGACATCAAACCGCTGAGCTACCCCGCAGCCCGTTACCATTTCAGATGCGATCGGATGCACTCAGGGTGGTATGGGAGTTCCAAGCCCATCACCATTTCAAAGCATGCAGCTCCGTCTTATTGTAGTATATTCACAAAGTCTAGGGACCCTCATTACTAATTGCAGAACATTTTTAGCACTCCAGAAGGAAACTGTGTGCCGTTTGATGTCTCTTATTGTCATTGAGCCTTCCCCAGCCCCAGGAACCTCTGAGCCCCTCCTGATCTGTGTGGATTTGCGAGGACTGGAGATTCCAGTCCCCAGAACCACGTGCTATGGGGTCTTGTGTGACTGTCTTCCGTGTGTACTGTGATTTTGAGATCATTCAAGTGGCAGCATCTGTGCTTCCTGCTCAGAAGCTGCGAGGTGTTGGGTTGTTTCCTCTTTTTGGCTGTCATGAATAATGCTGCTGTGAGATTTGCATGTAATATTTGCAGTCCTTCTGGAGACACAACTAGGATGGCATTGCTGATGGGTCCTGCAGGGCTTGAGCTGTGTGAGGAGCCCTCAAAGTGGTTTCCAGGCAGCTGCACCGTTTTACTCTCCCACAAGCTGAGACTGAGGGTCCCAGGGGCTAAGCAGTGTCCACATCCTTGCCAGCACTGCTGTTGACGCTGGCCTACTCGGGGCTGTGGAGGGCTCCAGAGTGTTCTTT